GGTGGGCAAATTTACGTTTATAATATTTTGTTAAAAGTAAAATAGATAAATATTCATCTTATTAATAATTTTCCAAGATCAGGGCTTAGGAATTCAGAGCATCTACATGTCCAGATACCATCTTTGTGTTTCCCTTCTCATCTCACCAAATATGAGAAAGTCTATGTGAGTAGGTAAAATTGAAGTCACATACATAACTGTAAGACAGATACAATGAATAAAGTTAACTTTTTACCAGATATTAATTTAATAAGTTACTAGTTAATCTGCCAGTTGGCTAGAACCAATATGTACAGATAACTGCAAGTTAGGAGTATGTCTCAGTTTTGGCCAAGGCCCAAATTTCAGGGTAGGAAAAACGAATATAAATATAATTTGCTCTGTTCTGAAACTGAAAAACCACAATTTTTTCGTATCAATTACAACATCTTGGGACTGAAGGTGTCATTCTGTCTCGTTATCCCGTCTTAGAGCCTAGCAACTGTATGACATTATTTATTAACTGTTAATTGACCATTTTTCACACTTAACAACTGTTGTAGTATGCCCTGTGGTCATGTGATCAAAATTCAGATTGCTTGGCAACAATGGTGGCGGTGAGCTTCTGCTTCTGAGGTGAGTTTCTGCTTCTGAGTTTCTACTTCTCTTTTTGGGGGAAATATTCTGCCTTTTTAATATTTCCTAGGATATTTCATTTTTCTAGGAGACGGGTGGTTGCTAACTTCCTACAGTTGTTAAGCTAATCATGGCAGTTGTTAAGTTAGTAACACATTTGTTAAGTGAATCTGGCTTCCCCATTGACTTTGCTTGTCTGAAGGTCGCAAAAGGTGACCATAGACCCCATCTATGAATAGAACCGCCATAAATATGAGTCAGTGGCCAAGCGCCTGAATTTTGATCACATGGCCCTGGGGATACTGCAATGGTTATAAGTGTGGGGAAATGGTCCTAAGTCACTTTTTTCAGTGCCGTTGTAACGTCAAACTGTCACTAAATGAACTGTTGTAAGTCAAGGACAACCTGTACAGTAGGTTTCTTGCCTGCATGGCATTAATCTTTTAAAAAATATCTGTGTAAATGGGTAATGAACATGATTTAAAGCATCTTCTCTTTTTATTGAAGAGTTCTGCCAAAACTAAGACAGATTTACCATGAAGAGATTTCAAAACTGGCAACGCTAGTACATCAACTGAGCTAACATTGAGGCGAGGCAAGGATAAAGTGTGTGGTTGATTGCAAGCACCCTTAAAGAGGAAACCTCACGCACATCACCTCAGTCTGATTTATTTTGCCCAGTATCTGTCTGCCTCTTATTCTACAACCCCCCCCCTCCTTCTTGTGGGGGAGAAATAAACACATTTCCAAATTCACTTAGTTGGAAGAAATGTCCATCTGGGTTCAGTTCCAAGTGGGGGAAAAAGACATTGGAAACACGGAGGCTGTTTGGAAAGATGGTTTAATGGTGGACAGGATCACATGCCTCGGAGATCCTGAGTGAAAAAAGGGAGGAGATGGTGAGAGTCCCTGGGTTTTATATCCTCTGTTGAGATTTGAATTTGAGCTTGTATTCTGATTGGTTGTCAGATTCCTATGGGGCCATGCAAGGGCAACTCTGTAGGCTGTCCTGAGTCCCAGGCTTGGTTGAGCCTTGCTGGATGATGATGTAATAAAAGAGCTTTGGGATTCCTATTATGGGTCTGTCTGAATAAGATAGATCTTTGTTATGTAAAATAGACTGACCCAGGCCTTAATGGCCCATTAGCAAAGGGGAGGGGCTGAGTTTCTGCCTCTCTTTTAGGGGAAATATTCTGCCTTTTTTTTTAGTATATCCTAAAATATTTCATTTTCCTAGGAGGGGGTGGGTTTTAACCTCCAACAATTTAAAACAATGTGACTTAGTTTGATCTCACAAACCTTACTTCCGCTGTAATAGTTTGTTTTCTTACTGAAACAATGTAAGCAGGAAATTAGCACCCAGCCCTTTCTTACAAAAATGAAATATCCTAGGAAATATTAAAAAGGCAGAATATTTCCCCTAAAAAGAGCAGAAACTCAGAAGCAGAAACTCACCCCCACCTTTATTAATGGTGGGCCGTTAAGGCCTAGGCCAGCCTATTTTACATAACAAAGATCTACCTTATTTAGGCAGACCCATAATAGGAATCCCAAAGCCCCTTCATTACATCATCATCCAGCAAGGCTCAACCAAGCCTGGGACTCAGGACAGTCTACAGAGTTGCTCCTGCATGGCCCCATGGGAGTCTGACAACCAACCAGAACACAAGCTCAAATTCAAATCCCAACAGAGGATATAAAACCAGGCACTTTCAGCCCTTCTTTTTCTTCTTGACCTTTTCCAACATTTTAAAGCATATGATCCTCTTTCCTTCTTTGGAGTTCCAAGCCTTGCCCACCATTAAAACATCTTTCCAAGCAGTCACCACGTTCCCAGTGTCTTTCTTCCCCACTTGGAACTGAACCCAGAAGGATAATTCTTCCAACACAGGAAAGTTTTCAAAGTGTAGGCTGCAATAAAACAGAACTTTGGGGAAGGTTAAACAAGCTTTTCAGCTGTTGGAAGAATTATCCCTTCTGGGTTCAGTTCCAAGTGGAGAAAAAGACACTGGAAACATGGAGGCTGTTTGGAAAGATGGTTTAATGGTGGACAGCAGGACCACATGGCTTGGAGCCCCAAAGTGAAAAGGACAATCACATCAAGATGTTGGGTGAAGGAAAAGAAGGGAAAAGGGCCAAGATGCAGAGAGTGCAATTGTTTTATTTATACCCTCTGTTGCGTCTCACCTTAGTGTTTCTTGTTCCTGTGTAAGAAATGTATCCCTTTGGCTGTCAGATTCCCAAGGGCGGGGGTCTTAGCTAACTTTGTAGGCTTTGTCTGGACCACATGGCTTCACCTGAATGCTGGCTGATGCAATCTTCCCAGGCCAGGTGGTGAGATGGGCAGAGGGCTTCATTATGTAGACTACTCTGGCCTCCCATTAACAAAGGTGGGGGTGAGCTTCTGCTTCTGAGGTAAGTTTCTACTTCTGAATTTCTACTCTTTTTAGGGGAAATATTCTGCCTTTTTAATATTTCTTAGGACATTTCATTTTTGTAGAAAATTTCCTTTGTGCCAGTAGGCACACATGGAATTTAAAAACAGGCTGCACACACAGAAATGTAATATCCAAATTACCTCACTCTGTTCCCATTTGAACTCCTGGGCCCAGGGTCTGGGACCATTTTTTTTGTCGTCAAGGACTCAGACAAAAGCAGACAAACTCAAGAGAAAGTCAGCAAGGATGACCAAAGGCTATTAAAACCCGTGAAGAGAAATGGAAAGAGATGGCCTGTTTGTTTTGCTTGAGAAAGGATAACGGAGAGGAGATATAATAGCACCCTTTAAATAGCTTAGAAATGTTTTATAAAAGGTCAAACTCTGCTCTAGTTCCACAGCGCAGAACCCAGAATAAATTACAAGGAAGCAGATGATGTAAAAGGAATTTCAAAATGGAACCAATAGACACGGGCTGTCATCAAGGAGAGTCCTTCCTTCCCTCCTTCTCTTCCATCCATCAAAAAAAGTAAAATAAAATTGGGTCTGAATCCCCAAAATTCTTGACACACCTTTCCTTCCTTCCCTTTCCTTTTTTCCTTTCCATTCCTTTCCCTCCCTTTTTCTCTCTTTCTGAATCTGATGGCCTCATTTCCAAACCAAGCCCTGAGCTATGTTTTTATTTTATTTGCAAAGAATATCACTCAGGCCTGCGTCCAGAGCCATTATTGGAAATAAAGGTGGCCCCCAAAATCTGGAGGCTACAAAGGAAGAAGGCAGCAGCCACCAGCACCACCATATCAGTCACCCAGTCCTTAAGGGCCCTTTCATTTATCATCGCCCCTGTTTTTGTGGATCACAGCCTATTTCATTGGTTTTTTTTTTTTTCTGTTGCAAACATCAACTACCAGGGCTGCATACTTTAAAAAAAAAAAAAAACCTCCACCTTTTCTGCTTAGGATATAAAATATGTCGATTCTTTTTGTAATTAGGGGGAACAACAACAACAAAAAGGATCAGCTCTTCCCTTCCACCCCTGCAGCGAGGAGCGATTGCAGATCTGCCCCCCCCCTCCCCAAGCTGCTCCTTTCTTCCCCACCGGTAATTAAAACATGCCGGAGATTGAGGAAAGTGGGAAGGGGGGAGATGTTGAATGCCTTTTAAAAAACAACAACTCCTTTTTTCTCTCTGCCTTCTCCACAAGAGGGAATCCCTGATTTATCAAGTGACGGGGAGGGGAAGGAAGGGGAGCTTCAGAAGAACCACTAATAATGGTCGTTTTGGAAAGGGGGGGTGGAAATCTTTCCCTCCCCTTCCTCCCTTCTTCCTCCTCCACCATTTCTTCTTCACACTCCAATGGCAAGTTTTAAATTGAATCCACAGGGGAGAGAGCTTCACCAGCCCCCTGCCCCCCCCCCCACAAGCCCATCCATTCCTCTTCTTCTTCCCAAGCCAGAGAGGCAGCCCCCACCGCCCCCACCTTTCCCCCCCCTCCCTCCTCGTCCTTGCAAAAGGCTCGCTCTCCCTGCGTCTGCCTTGCCTGCCTTTATGTGCAACCATCTTTAAAAAAGAAAAAAAAAGAGGGGGGGGGGGGGAAAGCCAGGCCTCTGGCTGCAAAGGCGCCTTTGGCGGGGTGGAGGAAACCCTTTAAACATGTCTGTCTGAAAAGCACCCTGGCAGGACCGGCCCCTCCCCGCGTGGCAGCACCTTGGCCTCTTGCCCAAAAGCTACCAGCAGCAGCAGGTCTGTTTGCATGGGGGTGATGAAGAGGTTGCATGCGAAGGGTTGGGGAAGCGGGGGTCAGGCTCTCTCCGCAGTGATACACCCCCCCATGCCCATCTCTCGTCTCTTTCTCCTCGCCTCCGTCCACCCTTGCCGGGGCCTATAGCTGCTGCAGAGCCTACACACAGGGCTGGGTAGTGTTTGGGGGGGGGGGAGAGAGAGAGAGAGAGAGAGGCACACATCTTCTCAAACCAGATTCCATTCCCGGCTATGGCTCGTCGCTGAGCCCCGCAAAGCAACAACGAGGAGGAGCCGCCGCCGCCGCCGCCGCGGTCGCCGGTCGCTCCGCTCCGGGCCCGCAAGCTTCAGACTCGAAACTCCAGCGGCCTTCGTAGGAGGGAAAAAATAAAATAAAAGGACCGGGAAGAAGCGTGGGGAAAGGGCCAGGCCAGGCCCGTTGGTGCTCTCGCCGGCCGGGAGAAAAAATAAAATAAAATTAAGCAGCCCGGTTTGCAAGGCGCCGAAGATTTATAGGCCGGAGACGCGGGCGGAGGCGCAGTGCCAGTTTTTCAGAGGCGGCTTCTCGGGCGGAGGACTGGCGACCTTGGGCTCGCTGGAGCTCGGGGAGGCCCGGGACTGCTGGAGCGCTTGGCTTGAGGGGTTTCTTTCTTTTGAACGGGCCCGCCTGGAAGCCGTAAAAAGAGCTGGTTCGTAGCCGCAGAAATGGGTTGACTTGAGCAAGGCCTCGGTCGGCGGCGCCTGGCAGAGAGGCGCTCTGCTCTGCAGACCGGACAGCCCGCTTCCCTTCTTCCCGGCAAAGAAAGCAGCAGCCTTGTTGTTTTTTCTCTCTCTCTGTTTCTGCAAAGCCCAGCAGGGCCACCGGGAGCTTAAGGCATTGCTGGCAAAGGGTGTCCATGGAGGGACTGTTTCAGGCCCTCATCCTGCCCTCCCCAAGAGCATCAGCCAAGCCTGGGCCCATTTGCCGGAGGCTCCAATAAATTCACTGAGGATTTCTCTCAGGTAACGCTGGGTAGCTTTTTTGTTTTATTTTTCCCCGGTCCTCTCAGCCTTCTTGGGAAGACATGAAGGTAGGAAGAGAGGATCAGGCAACGTGGAGTTGGAGGGGGCTGCAGATGTCATCCGGTTAAAGGCTTTTCTCAACATGCAGGGAAGGCGAATGGTTACAAAAGCAGCCTGTCTAGATTATTCTTAAACATTTCCCCCCAAAATGGAGAACCCACATACTCTATAATAGGTCGATTCTAGAGGTGATCATGGAAGAAGTTTCCCCCTTTGTTTAAATCTAGATAGCTACACTTTCCATTATTTCTGGCCATCTGCCCTGTAAAACAGGAATGATTTGTCAACCAAATAAGCTTTTATTTGTTTATTTAAAACATATATATTGATGTTGAAGTATGCTTTGGAGCTAAGGCAGATAGGCCCAAATCAGATATGGAAGACCACATGAAAGAGGTCACATCGTCTTTACATTGTTTTAGGCCCAGCCAAACATATTTATTATATTCACAAGACTTCTAGAAGGTGTCAGGTTACCCCCACCGCCAATGACAAAGCATGAACAGAGATACCACCACCGAGTGCATAGGGAATTGGGTATTCTTGGCCCATTTATTAGTTGCTTGGTGAATGTTGCATTGTTGGTACTTGTATCTATATATAGAAATGCTTTTCTTCCTCATTTTAGCTACTTGATCAACTTTTTATTTCCAGATATTCTTAACCACAGGACTGGAAACCGAAGTAATAAAGATTCTAGACATGTGTCTTTGAATCATCTGCATTCTGAAATTAACATTTTTGGGTGGATAGAGTCTCACTCTCTACACGGAATGATTGAGATTGAAATCCACTTAGGTAGAAGAGTTTGAGACAATCCTTATTTGTCACTGCCTGTTTGAGTTATTGAAGGGAAACTGTCTCTGTAGACTTGAGCCCTTGCGTAGGAATATGAGATAACAATATAGTAAGTGGGTGCTGCCAGAACCTCATTTCCAAGTGGTAATGGCTGTACGATGCAGAGATGGTGAATGCAAGTGCCAATGACAAGATGGCATTTCCATGCTGATATCTGTAATAGGGATGTAACAATAATGTAGGAACCACCTATTTGGCATAACTCTAAGTCCGGTGTGTTTTCTATTCATTATTACCACCAACATGGACAAATTGCTCTGCAAGCAGCAGCTGAATATTTGCAAATATTCAAATAATTGCATTATTCCAGTCCATCTAGGTTTTCAGTATGCTCTCAGGCTCTTAAACGGATGGCTTCAAACTAATGTCCTCCAATTTCAGTTCCCATGGAGGACACAAGTTCAGGAAACTTTATCTGTTCTGATCATCAATGATCTCCCAGTTTTTACAACAATGGTCTTTGCCATCATGTAACAGGAGAAGTTGAAACTGGTCCTTTTGCTTGTCAAACTGGATGCTTCCACTAATCTATATCCAATCATTGGTTATGGCTATCCAGCAGAACAGTGTCTATATAATTGTGAGGTGGGGATATTTGCAAGGGAACAGAAGGACAGTGGTACATAAAAGGGTGCACCTTGTTGAAAAAGTGATAATAGTAGAGATAATATAATGGAGAAATGTATGTCTGATGTCACAGTTGTTTGGTGGAATCATTGCAAAATTGTTCTTTGGTCGATGCCCATTCTGCAGCTGAACCTACTTGTGAAAGAGTTGGTTGAAACCAAATGTAGAGTCAGGAGATTAGCATGAAGTGCATCTGGGCTTCCTTTTGTGAAACAGAACTCTGTATTATATTTAAGAATGTGAGAATAGCCTGTAGATCAGGTCCTCTAGCCATCATTCCATTTGCTGTAGTAGTTTATCAAATGTATCTAAGAAGAGATAGATCATCAGTGGAGCCCTCCTCTCCCATAAATGTTGCTGCTCTGGACCTAATACTTCAAAGTTGTAGTTTGCCCATTCATCAGAGCCAGAGGACATTGACTGAACTGTCGGTTAAAAGTCTATAATCTCCATTTGAAACACATAAAATAATGGCCAGCATCATATCTTGCAGTAGTTACTTCATAAGTTGATTACATGCTACATGAATAAATGTTTCCTTTTATTACTTTTAAATCTACTAATTATCTAGTTCTAGTATTGTGGGAGATGGAAAACTCCCCAGTTTAGTCTTTCTTTATCATATATAATTTTTTAAAACTTAATTATAATCTTTGCATTTCTTTTTTCTCAATCAAATTTCACCAATCGTTCTATCTTGTCTTCAAGGCCCCGGTCATCTTGAGTGTCCTTTTTTGTATCATCTTCAGTTCCATAATATCTCTCCTGAGATGTGCAGACCAGAATGCTATACGAGCTGAGACACACAATAGGAAAGGTGGGGTCCCTTGAGGTCCTATTTGTGGGCTTCCTAAATGCATTTGGTGGACCACCATGTGAGGTGGAATGCTATATATTTGATTGATGTACTGCTGGAGTCAACCACTAGAAGTTGCATTGGCATCCTTCTTATAGAGGCAGCCAGCAAATCAGTCTTGCCATTATAATATGACCGTGAAGTGAAGGATAAGAGTTTATGGTAATTTATACTTAAATTCTTATAGGGTGCATTTGTGTAATGATGACAGAAACTACTGGATGGTAACAGGCAGTTTTATCAAAATGGCGGCTTCTGTTCTTGTTTGAATGGTGGTGATTGTCAGGGATTGGGAAGCTCTGCTTTTCAGATGTTAAAGTACAATAAACAACAGCCCCATCAGTATGATTAGTGGTGAGAGAAGCCGGGAGCTATATTTTTCAATATCCACTGGTCCAAAATTCCCATAACAACCAGTAAATGACTGGAAAGTTGCCCAGAATGATTATGTGTAATCTGTAATTTTTGGAGGAGACAAACAGAAGACTCTTTTCTAGTTTAGAATCTGCCATTGAGGAGGTTTTGAATTATGGAAATAGGAGGTTTTAGTCTATGGAAATTAAAGAATATCACTACTATTGTTGTTGGATTTGGAAATCATTTTGGTAAGGAGAAGAAGGAAAGAAGGAAGACCTCTGAACGAAAATATGAGTAAGTTAAAAGATGGAGGGCAGAGATAAGGAATTCCTTCCACAAGAAAGGAATTATGATGAGGACTGGGGATTTTGAAAGCTGCTGTTTCAACACAAATAGAAAACACCAACTTGGGAAATGGTGTCTTAAGAGCATCAGTATTTTAGTATTGCAGAAGGATGAGTCAACTTCTCATGGCACCTTGCTTCAAGTTGCAGAAAAACAAAATTTGCTGACACCTATCCAATGTTATAAGAGTAGAGATGAACCTCAATGAGGGTCATGGAACTTCTGCATGGCCGGGTGGGGATCCTATGAGGAAGGGCTCTTGCATAGGTGAATTGAAGGCCTTGTAGTTGTAACAACTATTGCTATGATATGTGTAAGTTACTAGTGACTTGGAAGTAGATAGACAAGGTTGGCCATAAGCCCTTTGTGAAGAACAATGACTATTTTACAACCATTCCAAATGTTCTACAGATGTGGGGTCTGAGAACATGGAAATCCTGCTTGTAAATGCCCCAATGTTGAGAGCGCATAGGAAAGTATGTCACTCAACAGAAGCATCTCCCTCTCTTGGGGAACAGAAGTGGAAGTGGGGGGGTTTGCTTGCTCTTGTGGCCGAATATCCTTCATGCAGCAAAGGAGATCCTGTGAGCATTAAAAAAAAACACCAACCAACAACTGCGGTCTCTCTTTGTTAGCTTCAAGAAATACACAGCTTTTCAGCCAGGTTTTGGGAGGTAAGTTGTTGACGGCAAAGGGAAAAAGCTAAAATGTCAAATGTTTCTGTCTCTCTCATCTGTTTCTCTCTTTCTCTCTCAATGTAAGGGGCTGTGATTGAAATTGCAGGGGGGTGGGCTGGGTGGGGGGGAGAAACCAGACCAAAATTATCTTCACACCAGAGAAGAAAACAACCGAACCACTCTGGTTTTCAGGATTTGTTGGCAACTCAGCGAGGGTTGCCATAGCTTTCTACGTAGGGTGACCAGAACCGGCTGAAACTGGTTTGAGGCAGTTCAGCTCCTGAACACAATGCAGTTATTGAGATGGCTTCCTCCCGCCCTCCCTTCATGGCACCAAAAGCAGAGGATCTTGCAGAACAGATACCGTCCCCTAACAATATGTGAATGCACACTTTAGACACACAGCTCTGGTATGTGACTAATATAACAGTCATAAAGGTTTCTGTGTATGTTATGTGCCTATTTGCAATGGCTGATAACTTTGGCTGGTTCATGCCTTTAGAAAATAATGATAATAATGGTAATGCTATAAAAGAGTGGACCATAGCTGAAGTTTATCACCCTTATTAAGAAGAAAGAAAGAAAATTGTTTCCTTTGCTAAGTGGGACACTGATATCTTGGTATTTGTTTTGTTTTTAAACAGCAAAATAAAAATGGGTTGGTTTGCATTTCCCTTTTATGCATCAGGATTGCTACTTTGCTCTCTTCTCTGTCTCTCTCCCTTTCTCTTTTTAACTCTAGTTGTATTGTGGATTTCTTTTCTGGGGGAAAAAATCTGTGCGTATATCTATCTGTGCAAAAGGCCAAAAAAACAGCTTTGTTGTAAAATTGCGCATGAAAGCCTTTGCAAAATAAGCTTTAAGAGGCATGCTCTTGTTTTGCTTTCAGGCCTATTGATTAGGGCTGCCTTTAACTCTTTCAGGTTTACTGTGCTTATGCAACCTTCATCGGCATCATTGGCATTTTAAAAATTGTCACAAGGCAAAGTACACAAGGTGAGCTGTGGTGCTTGTTAAGGGTGTAACAATCTGAGCATGGGCATAACGTGGTAACAAAGCCTGAACACAATGTGTGATTGCATACCGAGACACACTAGAAAATAACCCCGTAGTCTGAATTAAGAGAGGAAATGCTGTTAAACTGATTTCAGGTGACCTAGGATTAGAACTGTTGTTTTAAAAAGACTTAATCATAATCGGTCTTTGTTTGGTACACCTTA